ATACATACAGTTCCAGTTAAGTTATAAAAGCAATAAGTAATTCAGAATAAAGCAATATGTCAAGCTGTACTGTTATGACAACAAACATTAAATCACAATCAATTATCTGCTACATTTGGAACATAACAGTATTACTTCTTGAAAAATCTTGTGTAAAATTTACTTTAGAAGGATGCCTGGCACAATGGCAAAATGGCTAAACCATACATTACAAGTGTCAGGATCCCACATGGGCACCGGTGTGTGCCCCAGATGCTTGATTTCCCATCCAGCTCCCTGTTTATGGCTGGGAAAGCAGTAGAGGATGTCCCAAAGCCTTGGGTCCCTGCACCCATGTGAGAGAGCCAGAAGTTCCTGGCTCCTGGCTTCTGATCAGCTCAGCTCTGGCTACTGTGGCCATTTGGGAAGTGAACTAGCAGATCTTTTTGTCTCCTCTCAGTAAATCTGATCTCCCTTTCCAATAAAAATATATGTCTTTTAAAAAAATTAAAAGACAGAAAAATCAGAAAATGCCAGTAGATGTTCCAGTGACATTCATTAGTGACAAAATAGTAATTTGGATATCAATTAATACATCATAAACCAAGAAGGAACTTCAGATCTCATTTTCTGTATGGAAGAACTGAGGCCTTGAGAGGTGACACGATCTGTACACGGTCAGACGGGCAGCACGTGGCAGTGAACCGTGCTGCATCTCAGCAGCACAGGGCACAGATCCAGTGTCCTCCTGGGCATTTCAGCTGTCTCTCAGAAGAATAACTACCCCGTCTTACTTTTCACAGGAGTGACAACAAAGGGCGGGGGGAGAACCACTGGAGGCCAAAACCCAAGGTCCTGTTTACTACCCTGTTAAGTGGTAATTGTGGCAAGCAAAAAATTATGTCTGTTTTTGTTCAAAGGAGGTTATGATAATTATCACGACTGTGAAGTATTTGTAGATATGTGAAAGGTGAGACCAGGTAAATGTAAAAGCAGCTTGTTCAGGGATAGCCCTAGGATCCTGGAAGGGGAAGTTTTCAAGGTAGTTTAGAGGAAAGCAAAAAAGTTACAGTTAATGCTAATACCCAGAGTTAAGTCTGGAAAGACAAATCTTGCTTATGTAGTCTGCAGGACCATCTCTGTCTTCCTAGCTAAACTGAATGATGTGGTCTATAGATTCTAGCACCTTGTAACAGAGAACAAATTGGAAGGACCTGAGAAACATTTTTCTGCCCCCTGTCTTTACTAGGATAAAATGATTTTAAGCAATAGTTTAGGAAGGAAGTGGGGATAAAGTTACAAGACTGTAGAGCGGCTTACGAAACACTGAGATACTACTGAATGAAAGAAAGCTCTACATTTCAAACACAGAAAAAACTGAGCAGAAGTGGAATCACAGATAAAAGGCACTACCAGGGAGCAGCTGACTTGGTATCTTCATTTTTGCTAACATAAAAAAATTCCCTAAAAACTGGAATGCATGCTTCTAAAAATCCTTACTTGCTTCGCCGTAGCAAAGCATACAACAGGTGGTAAACTATGCGGATCACACACCAACAAAGTAGAACTCCTTTGATGAATCATACTGAAGTCAGTCTTTCTAAATTTTCACAAGTGGATAAGCAAGAGAAATCTTCGCTAATCTCTGAAGTTGAGACAAACTGGGTAATTCTTAGTGAAATCTGTAATCTTATTGGGAAAGTGAGGTTGCCTCCAGAATTAACTGAGGTGGCAGCTCCTTATGGTCAGTGGTCATATTTATTTTTTTCTATATAGATTCCCTCTGAATACTGTTTTCTTGCAGTAACACTTAAGAAACTGAACCACTTTAGAATAAACTACAGGGCCCAGCTAAATTCCTGACTGCTAAATTCCTCGTCTTGAACATACCAGGATCGCATATGGATGCTGGTTCTATTCCCAGCGGTCCCACTTCCCATCCAGCTCCCTGCTTGTGGCCTGGGAAAGCAGTCAAGGATGGTCCAAAGCCTTGGGACCCTGCACCCACCTGGGAGACCCGGAAGAAGTTCCTGGCTCCTGGCTTTGGATCAGCTCAGTTCTGGCTGTTGTACCCACTTGGGGAGTGATTCAACGGATGGAAGATCTTCCTCTCTGTCTCTCCTCCTCTCTGTATATCTGACTTTCAAATAAAAATAAATAAATCCTTTTTAAAATAAATAAATAAACTACAATTACAACACCAACATAAAAAATAGGAAAGTATACTTGGAGTACACAAATAACTACCTAGTTTTTTTTTTTTTTTTTTTGCATTACGAATAGCAGAACTGAATAATTTAATTCATATATTGCAACAGGTTCTGGTATTGTCATCTTTTCTAGAAGTTCCAAGTTGTAGAGGAAAGGAGAGGTGGTCTGAAAACCAGTTGACTAATGAGTAGGTGTCATGTGGACGGGCCCAAAGGGATGGCTGACGTCCTGGGTGGGAGACGGTGTGGTTTCATCCACTGACCCGAAACAGAATGAAGTTTAAAACTTACAAATTCTTTATTTTTCCTAGTTTTACGATTAGCATTTTTAGATGTGACTGATGGCAGGTAATTGAAGCCCTAGAAAGTGAAACTTTAGATAAATGAGGACTGCTATTTCAAAGTGATTCTAAGATATAATCTTTTATGTAAGACTTCAGGGCATTCTTACGGAACAGAGTTTCCTATTTCCTATTTTATGTAGGTTAGGTAAGCTGAGACCAATATAAAAAGCCTTTCTGAGTCACTCTGCAGCGTTTTCTTTTGTGAGACTATCATTTTAAACAGTCTATATTTGAGGCTTGGCCTTCCTGGGCTCTAGCTTTAAAATACAGTCATTGTGATTCATACTCAAACTAGTTTGGCTTTATTCCTATTAAAAAAAAAAAAAAAAAAAAAAAACCTCTTAGGCATTTTCATCCTAAAATCTAGTTTTCTTTTCTGGAGCCAGAGTCCAGGATATTAGTGTTAGTGAAGAATTTTGATAGGAGCTAATCTATTCCTTCTGAGTTTCAAAGAGAATACTCTTTGTTTTTAAGTTACTCTGGTGATTTGCCAAAAAACAAACAAACAAACAAACAAACAAAGCTGCCAGGAACAGGGACTAGTGTGGTGGTGCAGTGGGTTCATTTGTTACTTGTTACCCTGGCATCCTATATCAGACAGGAAGGCTTCTGTTGAATCTCCTTGTAAGTGTGCCTGCGAAAGCAGTGCAAAGTGACTGCAAGGACTTGGGCCCTGCCATCCCCGAGGGAGACCTGGTTGTCGTCCCAGGTTCCTGCCTTGGGCCAGGGCCAGGCCCGGGGCTTTGTACCTCTATAGGGAGTAAACCAGAGCAGGCAAGATTTCTGTTTTGGGCCCAGTGTGATGACTCAATTGGCTAATCCTCCCGCTGCAAGCACAGGGATCCCATAAGAGCATGGTTAGTATCCCAACTACTCCACTTCCAATCCAGCTCCCTACTTACAGCCTAGGAAAACAGTGGAGGATTGCCCAAGTCCCTGGGACTCTATATGTGTGCGGGAGACCCAGAACACGCTCCAGGCTTCAGATAGGCTCAGCTCTAGCCTTCATGGCCATTTGTAGAGCGAACAAGAGAATGGAAGATCTTTCTGTCTTCCCTTCTCTCTGTAAATCTACTTTTCCAATAAAAATAAATAAAGAAGACAAACAAAAGAAACAAAGAGGGCCTGGCAGCAGTGTGGCCTAGCGGCTAAACGCACCTCTCCTTGAACGCACCAGGATCCCATATGGGCTCCAGTTCTAATCCCGGCAGCTCCACTTCCCATCCAGCTCCCTGCCTGTGGCCTGGGGAAAGCAGTCGAGGACAGCCCAAAGCCTTGGGACCCTGCACCTGTGTGGGATACCAGGAAGAGCTCCTGGCTCCTGGCTTTGGATTGGCTCAGCTCCAGCCGTTGCCGCTGCTTGGGGAGTGAACCATTGGACAGAAGATCTTCCTGTCTCTCCTCCTCTCTATATATCTGCCTTTCCAAAAAAAAAAAAAAAAAAAAGAAAGAAAACAAAAGAAACAGAGAACTGTCTTATTCCCTTATTCCATTGGAAAAAAAAAAATCTCTTCCTCTTTCTGTTACTCTCCCTTTCAAATGAATAATTTTTTCTAAGTGTCATAGAGATAACTTTTCTCTTTTAATATCAGTTTTTGTTTGGCGTGACAAGAATAATTTTCGATTAACAGAAAAATGATGCTCAGCTAGCTCTTGAATCATCAGAGGACTTTGTACAAGAATGAAAGTAACTATGTTATTATGGCGAATTACAAATATTCTGAAAACACATAATTTTAAAAGCACTATCTGGCATGGCCTAGAGAATTCATTTCTGTCGTACAAATGAACATTGCAACAAAAGTATTCCTTTTTTGAGGGGTAGCGGGGGGGGGGGGGAGGAGGGAGAAAGAATAATACATGTTTATTATAAACTCCGGAATATTCCATAAAGTGATATTTATCATGGAAAGCAATGTTGGCAGTGAGTGTGGCAGTCATGTTTCCACAGCTGTGTCTGAAGGTTCAGAAAACTGAGCCCCCACCCATCGGGAGGCACCAGGCTCCCCCAGACACTAGGTCTCATAGATCACCACTGATCTTGGTCTCTGGTTGGCCAGGAAAATTTCTCAGATCCGTCACACTTTAGTTATGGGTCAGCCAAAAGTATTCTAAAGAATATATGTCAGTATATGAGAATTAAGCTATAGTAAATTGTTTTCTAAATGAATAATCCTTTCATTATTTGCTGATTCAACCAAGATCTGCAAAGAAAATTTTGTGTAAAGCAAAAACGTAACATAAATCTATCTTAAACTATGCTAACTTTAAGCATGCTAATTAGAAAGCTGTCACTTGCAGTAACTTTTTATCAGGGTATTAAAACAGGAAAGAAGCAAGAGAACAGAAAACTTGGTCACTCAGCTTGGCGGTTTTCTTAGACTGAAAAAAATAACAATGAAACCTCCAGGGTTATTAATTTCAAATAAGGTTACTGAACAGAAAAGACAAGACTAAATTAACTTACCACTTGAACCATTTTAAGATATCTGGCGTATCTTGGATCCTTGGCTACAGTTACAATATTTTCTGCTGATACCTCATTTTCCTGGGGTCCAGACTCTTGTACACTATTCTGCTGTAGAGAGTATTTGGTGTAAATCTTCAGTCAGTTCACAAAAGGGATTCTTCAAGTTACTTACAATTTTATAATCTTTTTAATTACATGACAATTGGTATATAGAACAAAATCACACTTCTGAGTTTAAATACCAGTATTTATGGGATACATGCTTCCAAATATTTATAGATACTTAAATATGACTTCAGAGGAAGTTATACTTAACAAATGTTCCTTAAAACACAATTATACTCATGGCATGCAAAAACATATTTTTGCTTTACTTGGCCACCTCAGAGTCTTCACACAAAACATGAATAACAACAAGATATATTATTTCAATGGAACTTTTAATGATGCCAAAAAAAACCCACTTGTCAATTTATCAATTCTGAAAGAGAATTTATCTCAGTGGTATCCATCATCTACTGAACTCTTCATTTACAAGTCACTTTATTCTAAGTGGACATGCCTATTTTAACTTTTTAGAAAGCACTGCCTGCAGAACTGGTGGGAAAGAACCATTTTTCAGACAAAACTTCTGCACATTTCAGCTGCTGATAGAACCAACAGTGTAATGGTGTTCACACAGCAGTTAAGACTAAATAAAATGAACTAGCAACATAAAACACTGTAGAATGGTGTTTTTTTAGAGCAAAAGGTGCTTTCATTATACAGGCAGTCCTCATTTTGCCTGTTACTGTGTACCCGGTGCTTGTCTCTGCTGGAATCCTGTCATTAATAAAGGACACAGGTATATAATATTTGAATTTTCTATTAAATTATATATTCAGAATCACTTTCATGAATACCATTCATTATCAGCACATAAACATTATGAGGAAATTCTTTAATAAATAAACTCAATTCTGTATCTCAGTATCTAAGATTAAATGCATAAAAACTAGTATATATCCTCCTTTATTCTTTAAAATGAATTTTGCTTAAATAACTGAAATACAAATTTAATCTGTCAAAAATTCTGAAACAAACATCCAAAAATTTTCAAGTTTTTCCAATTATATGATACTAAGTATTACAAAAGTGAGTGTATCTATATTTAAACCTACATATTTACCTCTGTGTATACTTACCTGTATTATATGTAAACACAAAAATTCAAAACATTACTAATGAAGCACAAAATTTAAATGTATCCAAGTATGTTTTTAAACAAATAGATTTCAACTCAGCTATTAACTCTGTTCTAATAACCAAGACCTCAGCAAGGTTTAATTATATGATGCCGTACAACTTGCCTATTTGGATAACCAACTAAATCCTCTGTCACATCTCTCAGCTGCCCTTCATTTTACTCTCAAATCAACTTCAATCTGTACAACTGGATGTTCTATTACAAATACTAAAATGTGAACCATGAAGTTAAAGTTACACAAAAAAATGTGTACAAAAACCCTTTTGACTCAAGCATAGATTAGAGATGGTGATAAATGGATGACTTTCCCTAAAAATGTATAATTATTATTTATCTGACTACTGAGATGACAGTAAGGCAAATGGGAACTTAGTGTTAAGCCTATTTCAAAAATATTTCACATAACAAGCTAGTGACAATGAAGGAGGAATGTGAAGTTGACTTACATATTAAGAAAATAGTGAACAGTCTATTAAACTACCAATACTTATCAGTTTTACAATCAATCATACAATTTTATTATTTTTTAAATTAAGTAGCCAACAGATCTTTATAAATCATCTAGGGAAATTAATGTTCAATGACAGAATAAAACTGTCAGAGCTATACCAGATCACTTGTGAAGCAAATTAGGAAATTTATCTGTGATTATTGTATTAAATTTTTGATGACACATTTTAGGCAAAGACTAACAACAGTATAAAAGTTTTAAAATCCAAGTATGTATCATAGATGAAATTTAAAGACAGATGATACTTAAAAGTTCTGGAGAACTATATGACAATGCTACCGAAGAATGAATGAGTGGAAACATTATATTAATATTGTTTACAGATGTCATTTCAGAAAAAGGATGGTCTTTGTAGACAAGCTTGTCAAACCCTTACAACAGCTGGATTTCCACATGTACATTATATAAAAACACATTCCATCATAATGGAATTCATTATATAAATTAAACTGAGGTTACATTTTCTAATATCTAAGTATAGCATAAATGATCACTGAGTTCATTTCTTAAATAATACTATATCTAAACACAATTACTCCTTGATATGGGGGATTGGTGCCAAGCAGCCCCAAGGATACCAAAGAGCATATATGCTCAAAGCCCTTATATGAAATGGTGTAGTTCTTCCATACAACTCATACTATTCTTCCATATATTTTACAATGCAAAATAGCTGTTCATACTTATTGTTCAGAAATTTTTTTTAAAAATGTCTGTACATAGTCAGTACAGACACAATTAAAAGAATATTTCTGAACTATAGATAGCTGAGTCCATAGATGCAGAACACAGAATCCACTATACAAGGCACCCTCCTAGGGCTTCACACATCTTCATTATGTTTAATGAACTGAATGCCGGTACCAGAGACGGTGTAATGTAATACAGCAGATATGAGCTAGATTTCTTGGCAGTAGGTTGCCTGGGTTAAATGTCAGCTCTTATGTTACTGTTTGACCTTCAGCAATTAATTTAAGCCTTTGTGTACCTTACATGACACATGCATAAAGAAGGATTGTTTATAAGTACTTAAATTATATGGCTATTATGAAGTTAACATGGGTTATGTTATAGAAATCACCTAGACATGCAAGCCATGGCAAACAGTAAACACACTTTAAGTGTTAGCTATTGTGATTACCAACATCATTGTGATCTGAAACAATCCCAAATCTAGGCAAAAATGAAGACTTAAATTACATTGGAAGTTAGTCGCTTAGTGATTACTTGAGGTTGGATTTTATTACCCAACTGAGAAACAGCAGCGTTTCCATTCTCCATGAACAAATGAGCTGCAAACTTTACAGACAAATGGTATATTTATTATCCGTAGCTCTTAAATTTCAAGAGCCTAAAAACGACCTAGGGAACTTGTGAAAATACAGACTGATTCAGTAGTTTTGGAGAGGAGGCAGAGACTCTTCAAATCTAACAAATCCAAAGTCTATGCCCTTGCACCTGGTCCAAGATGCATCCCTGAGTAGCAGGGCTCTGATGGACAACAGAACTATGGTTCCTCTACTGTGTATAATAAAAGCACTGATTTTTTTAAAAAGTTATAAAATTAAAGAATGTCAAGACTTTTCAGAAATAACTCAAGGATTTATGGTGAGCCAAATGACATATCTGAGATTCATTTAGGGAAGTATCAAAAAGACAGATGAAGCAATTGTAGAAAGAAAAGTCTTAACTGGTGAATTCAGGAAATGGGTATTTGAGTATTCATTATTCCATTTTGTGTATGTTTCAAAATTCTACATTGAACATTTTAAAGCTATGTTCTCATAGGAACTTAGACTGATCTTGGTTTTTACAGGCAAAGGAAATGTTAACTGCAGGAAGCCTTTCAAAATAAAAAAAAATTTTTTTTCACTCCATAATCTTTCAAGTTTTTACAATCTTTACATTAAAACTTAGGTTCGGGCCCAGTGATAGCATAGTGGTTAAAGTCCTCGTCTTGCACGTGCTGGGATCCCATATGGTTGCCGGTTCTAATCCTGGCAGCCCTGCTTCCCATCCAGCTCCCTGCTTGTGGCCTGGGAAAACAGTTGAGGACGGCCCAAAGCCTAGGAACCCTGCACTCATGTGGGAGACCCAGAAGAGCTCCTGGCTTCAGATCGGCACAGCTCCAGCCATTGTGGCCACTTGGGGAGTGAATCAGCGGACAGATCTTCCTCCCTGTCTCTCCTCCTCTCTGTATATCTACCTTTCCAATAAAAATAAATAAATCTTAAAAACAAACAAACAAAAAACTTAGCTTCACCTACTTTTCTTCCTTCCAGCCTGCTAGGTAGGTCTGCCAGGAACAGTGAAGGAGAGCTGCTCCTGCTTCCCGAACTTTAAATGACTTACTTGTGATGGCTCCAGAGCAGTTTCAGAACGTGAGTCATTTGTGACACTTACAGCAGACACTTCAAATCTGACTTCATCCAGGCCTGGGATGGAAGACAACTGAGAAAAGAAAGCCAGTGTTGGCATCTCAGGACAGCAGTAGGTGCATAATTTTATGCTGTGATTTTTTTTTACATGTGTATTTTCTAACAGCTATTTTAAGTTAATGCAACTTTTTTAGGTTTATAATCTCTGATCTTTAATTTTCCATATCACAAATTAAAAGTGAATTACAATGATAAATAAAATGCTTTTGAAGAATTTTTTAACAATTAAATTTTCCTTGACCACTCTTTTAAGTTATCCTTAAAATATTGAAATCTTTTTGTGTAAGGACTGAAAGTATGGGGTTTTGTAGTAGTATTAAGTTCTAGTTCAACCACTTGCAAGCTGGGACATTTTGTCAATCTCCCATGTCTCAATAAGATGCTCACCTGGGAAGTGGGGACTCAGAGGAAGTGCCTTACAAAGCTACTATAAAATTTTGTTAAAAATGTTTTGTAAGCAGAAGATCTTTGGTGCATATTTAAGTTTAAACTATCTGGGGTATGATGGAACTCTTGTCTTTACACTTTAATGTATAACAGCTCATTCTTTTGTCTTTCTTCAAACGTTTACTGCCGAATATTACTAAAATACATTTCTTGTGTATTAAAAAACGGGCATACCATCAGCATTTGAACACAAAATGGGTAAGCATGTCAACCTAAAATCATTAAGCATTTCAGGTTACCATCTCATGACTTATGCTAACCCTTTTCTTCCCCAATTTCATCTTGCCATTAATGATAAACATTTTTTCAGATATTTGGTTAACTTAGGGAAAAAACTATGGCCATGGGAAAAAAGCTAACTTGTTCAAATGGTAACCTAATATGTGACCCTGGACTCAACTCCATGAGAATTCCTCAAACATTAAAATGAGTCAGACACTCACAACAAAGATGAAAAAATTCAACAGTAATAAGGGCTTAAGTAGGATTACTCATTGAGAACTGCTGACAGCTATCACTTCTCTAACACAGTGACGATGAACCCGTTTCAGGTAGGTATGGCTGCTAGAATAAGGAACATGTTCATGGCCAAGCACCCTGAACTTCAAGCAAGAGAAATGTGAGAGCAACACTTGTTGACGTCCCTAACACTGCATTCTGGTCATAATTCTAAAAAGACTAATACCATTTGCCCTCTCCATACAGGTTCAATAAATAATTTCAAGGTTAAATTTCCTGGGGTAAAAGGGCAAAGTCACTTGAAAAAGGTCTGTTCATTTCTTTTGTCCATTTCTTCACAAGGTTTTTTTTTTTTTCCTTTCCCTGGGTTTCTGAAGTTCTTTGTAAATCCTGGATATTAGTCCCCTATCACTTGTGTAGTATGCAAAAATTTTCTCCCATTTTGTTGGTTGCTTCATTGAAAAGAAAGAAGATTCAAATGCTAACAGACATACAATAAGATGCCATCAGGGAGATACAAATGAAAATTTCATTGAGGTACCACCTAACTCCAGTGAGACTGGCCTACATTCAGAACTCTACTAGCAACACCTGCTGGCGTGGATGTGGGGAGAAAGGCACCCTCCTTCACTGCTGGTGCGAGTGCACTCTAATACAACCACTAAACAATATGAGAAAATCAGCCAGGGGGTGGCAATTAGAGGGGGTGGAAGTCTCAGACTTTACAGAATTGTACCATAAAATTTAAAGTTTAAAATAAAAATCTTAAACAAAAAAAGGGCAAAGTCACAAATAAAAGTGTATCCATTACCTGATAGGCAGGAAAAATATATGAATGTTTTAAAAAACCTAATTAAATTAAATATGTCACCGTCGTTTATCAAATCTATTAGTTCAAAATAGCATTCTACTTTTCCTGAATATCTCTCAAAATCCATGATATCAAAATAGGTACTGTTACATGTCTCTACTTTCAAAAACAGCAGGATTTCCTATAAAATATTTAAATATATCTTTATAGTATATTATGTTTTGTACCTTTCTCTGTGCCTAGCAGGCTACAATACATTTAAACAGCAGAAACTTAAACTTATACCTGTTACTAAGGGAGTATACTACTGTGATAATTGGTAGAAAAATGGCTGGAGGGGAAGTAGGAAGGGAAAATGGGGAAGGGAGGGATAAACTCTTATGTCGACAAAACCATATTGTGGAAACTAACAATAAAAATAAAATCAGGATCAGTTCAACAGCTGATTAAAAGAAAACTGCTTCATTTTAACAGTAAAAAAAGAATGGGTTCTGCTCCTTGGCACTTGAAAATTATCGGGCCCAGCGGTGTGGCCTAGCGGCTAAAGTCCTTGCCTTGAACACCCCGGGGATCCCATATAGGCGCTGGTTCTAATCCCGGCAGCTCCACTTCCCATCTAGCTCCCTGCTTGTGGCCTGGGCAAGCAGTCGAGGATGGCCCAGAGCCTTGGGACCCTGCACCTGTGTGGGATACCCGGAAGAAGTTCCTGGATCCTGGCTTTGGATTGGCACAGCAGCGGCCATTGCACTCACTTGGGGAATTAATCATTGGATAGAAGATCTTCCTGTCTCTCCTCTCTGTATATCTGATTTTGTAATAAAAATAAAAAGAAAATTATCTGATATGATCTCTGAATTTTGCACTGGAGACATCTTTTTTTTTTTTTCAAAACAATGTAATTTTGAATTTCCCATCAATGAAGTGAACTGTGTTAACACTACAGTTGGTTGGCATGTTATTTACATTATTTTTTGGCTAATATAATGAAAGGAATCGAAAGGCATGTACACACTTAAATAGACTCGGCTAATGCTTCACGGTGAATACCAGAACATTATACCACTTCATAGATGCAGCAGATAAGTGGAGTTCATTTTCAAATGCAATGAAAGTATGACTGAAAAAACTGGCACATACATTGTGCTTTATACTACAAATTATTCAGAAATACAAACCTTTGCGTCTAAAATATTGAGAGTTGTTTCAATTTGTTGAATACGTAGAGAAAGGTTTGCCAGTTTCTGAAAAATAAAAATTTAGAGACAAGAATAAAGTCCACGGTTAACTCTGTGGTTCAATGGGCTAAGTCGCTGTGGGGCACGCTGACAATCTATATCAGAGCGTGATTTGAGCTCCAGCTGCTGGCTTCATCTCCAGCTCCTTGCTAATGCACCCAGGAAAGCAGCAGAGCACGACGGAAGTCCTTGGTCCCCCTGCCTCATGGGAGACCTGGATGGAGTTCCAGGCTCCTGGCTCTGCCTTTACCTAGCTCCAATCACTGTGGCCATTTGAGAAGTCACGAGCAGATACGAGATCTCTCTGTCATCTCACCCTTCAAATATAGAAATTTTTTAAAAACAAAACAGAGTCTATAAACACAAGTTCGAAAATAAAAGCAATTATGATTTAAATATGTGTCACTTTTTGATAACCAACTGTCCAAACCCATAACTAGGAATGGAAACTCAAGTATCTATACTGGATCTTAGCCAAAAGGCTAAGAAGCGATGAAACTCAAGTGTCTAACTGTTTTCATTAGAATATTTCACAGGTAATTCATAAAATAATATTCATTGACAAAGAAAACTCATTTTCAACTTTAGCAAACTCACTGTTACGCACTAAACAATCATAGGGGTTGGAATATCAACTCAACCTAAGGAATCTTTTGGTCATTCCTATAGCCCCAGTTCCTGGAACAATACCGGACACTTAACAGGAGCATAATAATTACTGGATGATGAATGAAGGGATTCTTCACTGAAAACAAGAATAAAAACTAGGCAAGAGAACCTGGAACAGACTCTACTTTTAAAATTACTTAGATAGACAAGCATTCTATAATTAATCCCAAATTCAAAGTCCCAAATTTGAAGTGTAAAAGGGTAAAACAGTAATATAAAATTGAAATGTAAGCAATTCTTTCCTACACTCACACACGTCCTCCAAAATCTCATGCAAATACAAAATCTGTACCAAAATAAACATAATTTAATTCCATTTTCTACAGACTTTTTAAAGTACCCTCCAGTGGATATGTGTGTGCATCCCAACACAAACAAAACTAACATCATAAAATACAATCCATATTTAAAACCTATTTTTTTTGCCTTTTTACATTCTTTTTTTTTTTTTTAAAGTTATTATTCCATGATACAGCTCCATAGGCTCTGGGATTTCCCTTGCCCCCTTTCCCAAATCCCTGTTCCCCCTCCCAGCAATAATTTCTCCCATGTCATACTCCTTCACAATCAGTCATAAGTCCATCATTCTGCTATTTAAGTGTATCCTGACATTGCAAGCATGGACAATGGCAGAGAGTCCAGCATCCTACTGTCAAGATAGATTCAACAGTTCTGGTACACTTGCTCCATGAAGGTTGGCCAGTTCCTGATCTGGCAGACACACGGTATTCAGACTGCTTTCTAGGTTTTTGCTAAGACTGAATAATAAGCAGGACTTCAATATACTGAGAAATGATCGTTTTTGACAACAACCAGAAAGAGTACAAAATCTGAAGCTGGCCACAGAGAAAGCAATTCCTTAAAGCATGCTTATTTTTAAAATGGGCATTTTATATTAGGAAGTTTTATTAGAAAGAAAACATTAGAGGCTGCCATAGTGGCTTGCAGAAGATTCTCTGCCAGCAGCACCAGCATCCCATATGGGTGCGCTGGTTCCTGTTCCTACAACTCCACTTTTTTTTTTTTAATATTTATTTTGCAAAGGCAGATTTACAGAGAGGAGAGACAGAGAAAGATTTTGCATCCATTGGTTCACAAAGGGGTGCAACAGCTGGAGTCTAACCAATCTAAAGCCAGGAGTGGCCTGGGAAAGCAGCAAAGGATGGGTCAAATGTTTGGGCACCTGCCCCTACATGGGAGGCCTGGCTCCCAGCTTTGGAGTAGGTCAGTTCCGGCCATTTTGGCCTCTGGGAAAGTGAACCAGCAGATTCAAGACCTATCTTTCCCTCAATGCGTAAATCAGCCTTTCCAATAAAAACAAATAAATCCTGGTGTTTTTTTTTTTGCTTGTTTTTTTAAGAAAAATACTAGAATCTTTTTTTAATGACACCACAGCTAATTTTACCCTTTATTGCTACAATTTGCTTATGTGGCAGCTTTTATATGAGCGTGAGCAGGTTAATAAAATGCATCATTGCTGGCAGTGGGCTTCTGATATAGTTAATAAAATGTGTCAGCAGTGGGTTCGGATCTGGTGGGGATGTCACCACGCCTGTGTTCCATGTAAAAGTGCTCAGAGCTCCAGCTCTGTGACCTTTGCGCTAATGCGCGCCCTGGAAACTGTGGCTGATGGCTCAAGTATATGAGTTCCTGTCATTCAAGGGGGATCCTCAGATTGGGTTGTGGACTTTATCAATGGGCATATTTTTTTCTTCTGTCTTACTGGAAAACCAGGAAAGATTTTGCTGTTTAGTGGCCAGTGTTGTGGTAGAGCTGTGGCCCAGCTCGTTAAGCATGTACTTCGGATGCTGGCATCCCATATACAATGCAGTATCCGATGGGGTCCTAACTCCTGTACTTCCGTTTCCTGGGAAGGTGGCAGCAGATGACCCACGCATATAGGCCCCTGCCCACCGTGTGCGAAGACCAGGGCCCTCGTCTCTTCCCACGGCAGCCCCCATCATTCTCTGCCCTTTTGTCTTTGAATAAACTGAATACATTTTAAGAAAAAAAGGTTCTGAGAATTAGATTTTTTTTTAAAAAAAAAACCAGCTAGATTAAAAACAAGATCCCATGTTCATCAGATTGCTGAGTCTGCAGAGCCTGGTACTGGGCAGATCCCCGACTGTGTGGCAGGAGCGCCTATAGGGGAACACAGGCTGCTACCGCACGGGGCAGCCGCCCAGAGCCACGTGACTCTCCTCCACCCCCACATCACAGGACCTACCTCCTCACACACGGTAGAAAAGCGGTTGAGGAACTGCACAGTGTGCACCACAAACTGGTTTAGAAAGGCCACCGTTCTCTTCTGTTGAATAGCAGGCACCTGTGTCGTGTAAAAACAGACAGGTCTGGGCAGAAGGAACGCAGGCCGGCCAACCCCCGGACTCAGGCCTCCCGCTGGGACATTTTGTTATGTGACGTGAATTCGTAGGACTGTCAAGCTTGTTTTCCTCAACGGGGATGTCTCGGGGCAAAGTTTGAGGACGGGGCTCTAGATCCACCAGGACGGCGTCTATAACGCTCACACTAAACTTGGGGACTAACTAAAGCATTCGGTTCAAAGGTCGCAGCCAGTCGCCATCTCCGGCGGGGAAGTTATGGCTGAAGGGGCACACGCACCGCCTAGGCTCTGTTACAGGAAGGTGCACCGCGGCGCCCTCTCTCCCAGGTCGGCGGAAGAAGGGTTTCGGGCCAGTTTGGGGCCTGGAGAAGCTGGGCTGAAGGGGAAGGGGGTCTCCCTAGGCTTAGGATTAACATCCATTCCCCGGCCTCCTTCGCCTCCCCGGCCGCCGGAAGTTCTACTCGGTCTTTTTACAAACCTTGGTCAGGTCTATGCCTGACCCCATGAGGGGAAGCCCGTCCTCATCCATCTCCTCGGCGGGCGGGAGACCTAATTTACCCACAAGTCCCTCCCCGAGAGAGCCCGCCCAAGCCGGTAATGGCGTGCCCTACACCTCCTCCAGTCACCGCCTCCGAGGGCCTGACCCGCCGGAAGGAAACGCCTCCCCGCCAATCACTCCTCGTTCAGGGAGAGTGCCGCTTCCGCCCCGCATTCTGGGAACGGTAGTTTTTGGTCGAGATTGTGACATCACTACTTCCGGGGGGCCGCCTGCCGCCAGTCCGTCTTCCTGGATAGTAAATTCTTAAAACAGCGTGGAGGGGCCGAAAGCACGGCCAAGAATTGGCACGTTTGAAGTTATTCCTACTTAGTCCTGTCTGTCTGTAAACAGCTGTGTCACTCGAACAACTTTTTTTTTGTTTTTAATCCTACTAATTTGCTAGGCCTGCGGGAAATATTGAGTCAGATAGAGCCAGCTGAACTGGAGACTCCTGTTCTCAGGTAAGACCTATTTGCAAAGAGCTTTAGCCTTATCATAAGCTGTGGCAGGTGCTGCAGGTGCGGCGCAAACCTGTGCAGCTGACCGACGGATGGACGTGTCATCCAAAAGAGGGCCACAGCGATTCAGAAAAACCGTTGCACCTGCAATTCGAAGAGCTTGGCTCGGATTGTGACCGTGCGGAAACGGTTTCCCAGCACTGCTCCCTGGAGCAAAATCTCCCTCACGGGGGGTTGAAACCCGTGCTCTGTGCCATCGGTTCGCTCCACGTGGAAAGGTGAAGACTTGGAGACACACGCAGTGTAGGGCAGACACACGTGGCAGGCACAAGTGCAAACAAAATGCCCGTGAAGGCTGTGGGCGCGCACACACAAGCACGAGTCTCTACCTGGGTCCACCCAGAAACACTGGGACGCCTTACGTCCTCTGGGGGCGCGGGAAAAGGGGGCTCCGGAGCCGTCCAGCTTTAGCAGGGTGTTAGTGTGTGGTGGCCCTTTGTAGGAACGAGGCCCACAGGCCCGACAGGCCCGAGAGGCCCGAGGGAGCGTGATATGTAGGTGAAATGCAAAGTTGTTTGCTTTTTGGCCAAACAGGAAGTCCCAGGAGTGGATGAAGGTAGGAAATGAGGTGTGGGAGAGGAAAAGGCAAGTGAGACTGAAGGCGGATTAAACTAAGTGAGCGCCTCTGCTGAATGAATTTAGAAAGGTGAATTTTAACTTGCCTTGCCATTCAGAATTATGAGCCAAAGTTTTAAAAATTAATCTTTTTGAAAAATGTATTTCTTGGGAGCAATGTTAAAGCCATTTTGTGCCGTTGAGCTAGGCCGTGTGAGCACTGGTGTGTGCTCTCCGTCCCGTTGTGCGCCCTGCTTAAAGCCTCGGGAAATGGAGCGCAGGATGGGCCAAGTGGTTGGGCCTTTGCCATCCGTGTAGGAGATCTGGAAGAAACTCTGGACTTATACCTTCACACTGGCCCTGCCCTGACCAGTATGGTTATCTGGGCAGTGAACCAGCAAATGGAAGATCTCTCCGTGTGTGTGTGTGTGTGTGTGTCTTAGTAACTATGCCTTCTAATGAATAAGGGAACCTTGCAATAAAAAATTTAAATGTATTTATTTCAGTGCTGCTGCCAGCTGACTTGGTGGGAAGGCCTCTCCTGCTCGCGTCCGCGCTCGTCACCGTCGCCGTCGCCCTCGCCATGTCCAGAGGTGGTGTGAACCGTGGCCCAATGTGGAACAGCGACTGCAGCATCTACGTGGGCAACTTACCCCCGGACATCCGAACCAAGGACATTGAGGCCGTGTTCTATAAGTACGGCGCCATCCGAGATATCGACCTCAAGAACCGCCGCTGGGGCCCGCCCTTCGCCTTCGTCGAGTTCGAGGACCCGCGGGACGCGGAGGACGCGGTGCACGAGCGCGACGGCTACGACTACGACGGGTACCGTCTCCGGGTCGAGTTTCCACGGAGCGGCCGCGGGCCTGGCCGAGGCGGAGGTGCAGGTGGATGGGGCGGAGCGCCCCGGGGCCGCTATGGCCCCCCATCCCGGCGGTCCGACCACCGCGTGGTGGTCTCTGGACTGCCTCCAAGCGGAAGCTGGCAGGATTTAAAGGATCACATGCGCGAGGCAGGCGATATATGTTATGCTGATGTCCACCGAGATGGCACCGGTGTCGTGGAGTTTGTGCGCAAAGAAGATATGACCTATGCAGTTCGAAAACTGGACAACACTAAGTTTAGATCTCACGTGGGAGAAACCGCCTACATCCGGGTGAAAGCTGATGGGCCCAGAAGTCCCAGTTCTGGAAGATCTCCATCTCGTAGCCGCCGTCGCAGCAGAAGCCGCAGCAGGAGCAACAGCAGGAGTCGCAGTTACTCCCCGAGCAGAAGCAGAGGGTCGCCCCGCTACTCCCCGCGTCATAGCAGATCTCGCTCTCGCACATAAGATGATTGGTTTGGTGACACTTTTTGTAGAACCCATGTTGTATACAATTATCCTTTACTCAGTACAATCTTTTCTTTCTTTTTTTTTTTTTTTAAATTCAAACAGTTTTTGTTCAGAGTGGGCTGGTGTTAAATCGCATTCTTGTGTAAAATCCCCTTGCTCCTAACAACTACATTCCCCTCATGCCTTTGATAAATTGTACTTTAAGGGATGCCATAGGCAGGATTGTTTCAATTTAGTTCATTCTCCATGCCCTTCAGGCTGCGATATTGTGATGTCTGTTGTGCTGATTTGTGTGAACTGGGATGCGGGGGCTGTTTGTGGTTAATCTTACCTGGGGATGTTCTTTTGTTTATCTTGCTTTTCACGTGTCTTTCTGTAGACATATCTGAAGAGATGGATTAAGGATGCTTTGGATTAAGGATTGTGGGAGCACATTTCAATCATTTTAGGATGGTCAAACGGAGGATTGAGGAGGATCAGAACAACAATGGAGGCAATGGTATGACTCCAAGTGCTATTGTCCCAGATGAAATTGGCAGTATTGACCTTATACTAAAATATAAGGGTTTAAAAATGAGTATGCTTACCTCAAAATACTTGCAAACTGCTTCTTAGTGCAGTTACCCTTGGCTACAATTGCAATGCTCTTTACCTGGGCAATTGTGGCATCACTGTATTGCCCATTTGGTAACAATTTATTTTGCTCCCCTCACCCACTCCCTATTTTTTGGTTTGTTGTAATAGGGACTAATGTGGGAAGAATTGGTTAATGTGTCACAAAAGCTTAGTTACAACTGTTATTTGTGACCTACTGTTGGTGTACGTGTGGGCACAGGGTGTCAGTGATTCCAACAAGACAGAGTATAGTATCAATACTGCTAAACCTGCATGTCCTCTGTGTGACTGATAGAGCATTGCTATATCATTTTTTAAAGACAAAATGAAAGCAGAATGTTGAATTCCAGCATTTTGGTGTAGATAATCTAGTCTCACCTTCCCCTTTAAAATAGTATTCATAATTGACTCATGTTTGAAACACTTTAATTTACAAGTTAAATTGCAAATGGGAGCTTTAGATTTAGTTTAGGCTTAGATGGGTAGCAATACCAGTTAACTTTACAACCGCATAACTTTGCAACCACAAAATCTGTAATGCGCTGTTAAGTAACAAATGTTGGCATTATCCATTGAACTGTAAATATTAGATGCTTCTTCAGTTAGTCTCTATGATGGTTAAGTTTCTAAAGTTTATCTGAAAACCATTCAGAAACTTGTTTTGGGGACTTTGCTAGTTATTGTTGTACATCTGTGAAATTGATGACAGACATAACTCATTCCCCAGAAACCCTTTTTGATGGCAGTATCTAACATTTTGCCTCCTCTGTTTTGGCTTTGCTAGTTATAAAGGTTTGGACTGGAGAGGGCTCACTGGATCCCAATGCTTGGCGCTGGATCATTGGATTCAAATCATAATGTGGATAAGATACGGAGGATGAATTACAAGGATTCATGGAATGGGATCAGATTTCCAGGAGCATGGGAGTGGATTCCTGCCCCAACCAAACCATATTCATGTGGATTTTTTTTTTATTCAACTTAATTGGCTATATATTCTTGTGAATTTTTAAAATTCCACTTAATTGGCTATTCCAAAGAATTTCTTTCCTTTTTTTTTTTTATGATGATTGGAGCCGTTAAGATGCACGACGGAATTGCGTTTTGCATTTTTTGGTAAAAGGAGCAAAGCGAGGACCTGGAGATAATACGCGGGAGCAATCTCCTTGGAAGGATTGTGCACGAGTAGATGGTAAACGTTCAAGGGGCAAAGGGAGGTTTGTTGAAAATAGTAATCAGTAAGTCACTTCTAAATTTAAATAAAGCAAAATTGAAGTTGAAAAATAAGTAGGTTTCCAATTAGCTGTTGCTGTTTTTCTTTGAAAAAAAATAAACATTTAAAAAAAATGTATTTATTTCTTTGAAAAGGAGACACAGAACTATCTCCCCTCTACTGGTTCACTCCCCAGATGCCTGCGGTAGCTGTGGCTGCACCAGACTGACTCCATCCGGGCTTCCTGCACAGGTGGCCGACCTCCTGAGCTGCTTGACCTGCTCCTCCCAGGGGGCTACAAGAGGGAGCGCAGCCAGCCCTGGAGCCCAAGTGCTCTGTTGCGGGATCTGGGCATCCCAAGAAGCATCTTAGCTGCTATGTCAAATCCCTGCCTCAACATGGCTTCTGTAGGCGATGCAAGTCATTTAAATGTTCTGAGCAAGAACAACATGTCTGAGATTTGTTAAAAAGTTATATGGTGGGGTGGATATTTATCGGAGAGGAAGAGAGACAGACATCTATCAAGATGGAATTCCCATCCACACTGGGTTACTCCCCAAAGGCCCCCAAAGCCACTGAGCAGGGCCAAAGCCAGAAACTGGGAACTCAGGGTCTCCTTTGTGGTATGAACACAACTGAGCTGTTATTCCTAAGGAAATGCCTACCCAACTGTTGATATGTTTAACAGCCTTCCATGAGTTGCAGCCTTCCATGACACCCAGATTCCTGCATTCTTTTCAAATGATTTAAAATCTACATCTCAGATCCATTAGAGGAATCGCTCTCATTGGTGATACTTAACAACATCTACTTTTTTAGTAATAAGCCATGGGTGGGGGAAGCAGGCATTGTGATGCAACAGGTTGGATTGCCACTTGGTACAATATCCCATTGCATCTCATACTGGGTTCTTGGAGTCCTGCCTGTACTTTCTGTGAATGCTGAAGCAGAATGGTGAGAAGAACAGTGGATGGAAGGTAGGCCTCCTTTCCTATCGCCCACGTGGTAGGCCTGGATGCAGCGCTCCCTGTCTGAATCCTGATTCATGTGGGAATTACAGACCACTAAGATTTACTGCATCTTAGCACTAAAGCTGTTTTGCTTTCTTGCCGTTCATGTATTCTCTGGAGGACCACTTTGAATTTCCTTCAAGAACTTTTTGTTTTCGGTGTTTCATTATTTTCAGTATTGTAGTATTCCAGATATTGATAAGACTAAGCTTTTTGATTTCAAGTGAAAGCCACGTGACTTCCTTTCCCTTGAATGCCTGGAGACTGCTTGTAGAGGGCTGCTGATCTGCCTTCCATATTGCTGTGTCTCAGTCAATAGGGCATTCTGGGAGAAGATAGCCTGGATAACAGGTGGTTGATGGAGCCAGAGCACACAAACTATGGAAAGGAGCTCCATCTTACACGGGTGCAGTTTGTGGCATCAGAGATTACTCACCGCAAGTTACTACACTAAAAATGAGAAAAAGATCCAAAGGTGGGGTCCTGGCAAGATGGCTAAATGGCTCAATCCTCCATTTGCAATTGGCAGGATCCAGCACGGGTTTATGTCCCAGCTGTTCCACTTCCCATCCAGCTCCCTGTTTGAGGCCTGGGAAAGCAATCAAGGATGGCCCAAAGCCTTGGGAACCTGTACTTGTCTGGGAGACTGAGAAGAGGTTCCTGGGTTTTGGCTGTGGTTGGGCTCAGTTCTGGCTGTTACAGCCATTTGGTGAGTGAGCCAACAGATGGAAGATCTTTCTGTTTTTCCTCCTGCTCTCTGTACATCTGCCTTTCTAATAAAAATAGATAGATCTCGAAAAAAAAAAAAAAGACCAAAATGTGACTCGAAGAGATGGAACACATGCTTGAAAAATGGTTCCAATATAGTTACTGGATGTCTGATTACCACAAGCCTTCACTTTTTGTACAATATCTGCAAAACACAATAAGCTGCACTAAAACAAGCCTGTACTACACTTGTGCCACAGCTATAAATAAGCACTGTGAGAATTCCAGGCAACTGTACTTATATTTTGCTTTTTCCCCTGAAAAAATCCATATGACTTGGAGTTTTTCCATTAGATTATAAATTCCTTGCAAAATGATTATGCTCTTTCTGTGACTCCCCTTTACATTTAAATTCATGATTTTAAATCAGAGTTTTGAGATTTTATTGTGATAGAGGCACGGTGCCTGGCACGGATGAGCCATCTTTCTGTCCATCCACCCATTTAACAGATATTTCCTAATAGTGTTAAGTGCCATCATAGAAGCACTGAGGGTACAGCAGTAAACAAAACATACAAATCCTGACTTCAGGAAGGTAAACAAGCGTATAAATTGGCAGGCAAGTGGAAAGGGAAATCCCTGAGCCTATGGATCTGTATCATAAAAAATCAAAATGACATAACAAAAAGTTGCTCATAGGTCACATTGAGGGACAGTAAAAATGAACGCAGGTGATTTGGGTGGACACTGAAAGCAAAACAAGCTGCTGCATGCGATCGCTGCATCCCATCTGAACATCTTAGGATCCAGTTCTGCTCCCTGCGTTCCAGTTCAGCCTCTTGCTGATGTATCTGGGAAGGCAGCAGATGAGAGCCAAGCGTTTGTGTTTTTGCCACCCATGTGGGGGACAGGGATGGAGTGGCCAGCCTTGGCTGTGGTCTGGCCCTCCCTTCTCACGTCTCCCCTTCCCCTTCACCGTTCCTCTCTTGTCCCCTTCCCTCACCTGTTATAGCCTCCCCTCTTCCTTCCTCTCCATTTCCCTTCCCTCCCTTCCTTTACTCTCTCCTCCCGTTCGCTCCTCCTTTCAAATAAATAAGGGAAAAAGAAAAATTTTGTGATGAAGACTCAGCTAAAGTATGCCCTGAGGTGGAGTCCTAGTGATATGAGGGGAAACTTTGTAAGGGAGCTGATGTCCGAGCTATGTTAGAGGACCTAGGCTAAGTGAAGAAGAAAGGAGAGGACCATCGCAAAGGCAACGAGGTTTGTTCCCCGGAGCTAGAGTGATCAGTGAGGAAAACCGTGTGAGGCTGAGTGTCCGGTATGATGGATTACTTCAGGAGACCACAGACAACGGGAGAGACTCAGCCATCAGTGCCAGAGCAGGAATGAGTGAGGTTTTCAGCGGCAGTAGGCAGAAAGCCTGAAAAGTTAAGCAATAGTGTCACTACCAACAAGGTGGTAGATGGGCCAGGGTCGAGTTTTAAATTTAAAATTTAAAAAATTTATCTTTTTATTTATCTTTTATTGGAAAGGCAGATTTACACAGAGAGGGAGATGCAGAGAGAAAGATCTTCCATCCACTCCCCAAGGAGCCGCAACGGCTGGGACTGAGCTGATCTGAAGTCAGGAGCCTCCTTTTGGTCTCCCACGCGGGTGCAGGGTCCCAAGGCTTTGGGCCGTCCTCCACTGCTTGCCCAGGCCACAAGCAGGGAGCTGGATTGGAAGTGAAGCAGCTAGGACACGAAATGGCGTCCATATAGGATCTCGGTGCATGCAAGAGAAGGGTTTTTGCCACTGAGCCACAGCGCCATTTTAAGGAGTTATTCGAACATCCTACTCAGGACCGGCGCCATTTCCTCCTCCTCACAGCTCACGAAATTCGCGCCGCTCCACCCGTCCACCAATCGGATGTAACCCGGAATTTCGCCAGAGAAATCCCACCCCCAATCTTCCAGCCCCTCCTCCATCCCTGCGTACTTACCAATCATCCCTAGGCAGTACGTGTGACAGTCTCAGTCACCAATCACCTGGGGTTCTGCCCTCAATCCCTCCCAATCCCCGCCCCCTGCACCTAGTGGGCTCACCTGAATGACGTAAAGAGCCCCCAGGTCGACGCAGCCCCTCCACCCCCTTTCTCTCTTTGTCCTCTCTCTCCCGCCACCCTCCGTCCTCTTCCCGCCCCGCTGGAATAACCCTCCCAAAGTACCTCGTTGTGCGTCCGTTGTTTTCGGCTCACGGTAAAAGAACCAGGCTGCAGGAGTTAGCTGCGCGTAATAACGTAAGACATTTGAGAGCTTTTAAAAAATAACCTCTAGCCCCCCAATATATATTTTAAGCACCTTCCCCAGAGCTCAGAGTTTTTGCCGTGAAGATGCAGAATGACATCCTCAGGGCAATCGTCCAGTGTCCTGGATCACTACAATTCACTTTGCAAAAGATCCGTAGCGTTGATCCTTTCCTTACCTGAGCTCTTAGTTCCTTACATGCCGGTGACCTAGCCCCCCCCCCCCCCCCCCCCCCCCCCCCCCGACTTGAGCCCTGCTTTTGCTTCTCTCTTTCATCCCTAGGACTCGTCATGGCCAATGCCTTCTGTTTGCAGCACGCAGTCTCTAGCCCCTAAGGTTTCCAGCTCACTTACTTTGTTTCCCTGCCTTATTACAGTTCTCCGAGCTGTAGGGAGTTTTAGGTTTTCATTGTTCCCCAATTCCCTGATGGCCTTACTTCCTTTTTTAGCCATTTTAGATCCTGTAATTCATCATAATCAGCTGGGGGAAAAAAAAAAAGACCCCTTCTTCCCGTTGTTGCACTCACCTGGCAAAACTTAGTAAACAAAATGTTCTGCTTTTTCTGGAACTGCTACCAATAATATACAACCAGTGTTGGTTGGCCTTAGGCAGGGCTCGTTTCGGTTTAAATTTACATTCTGCTGGGACTGGATCTGCACATGCTCCGGCCACGTTTGTTTCTCCACCACAGCCAAGTGCTTGAAGTTTGCCTGCTCTTCAATTACTGTGGATAAACTGTCCTTGCTCCGCCAGCAAAGGCCAGTGTCTTTACCTGTGTTCTGCATACCTGTTTGTTCTCACGTGCAAAACAACATAATTTCAGTAATTGTCTCCGTGTAAGGTTTTTCTTTTTTATTCCAGAATTCCCAGTAAAATACAAACAGACTGTTTCAATACCTATTTCACAAAGTAAATCTTGACTCGCCCCTTTTTATTTCCAGAAAAACAAAACAGGTTTTATCCTCCCGTACTTTTTTCACTTCGTTTCCTTCCTATTGTTTTCCTGAGCTTGTTTTAAACAGCCTTGCTACTTTTCTGTAAAAACTGATGATTTTAAGGCCACTTTGCTAA